AAATGCCGTCTCAAATTGACATAAATTCCTGGCCAACAGAGCGAATGTTGAAGCGCCATCAGTGAAGATTTTTTGGGGGTTTTAGATTGTCAACCCAAATGAGCGGCCAGGCCTCGCGCCGTCGAATGTGACGTCCTTGTCCTTTGGGGAGGACGCATCGGCATCGATAACGATTCGGACGAGCGCGCCTGCATAGGGGGGCATTTGGGAGATGCGCCACTCGACCGATCTATTGCGATTTTCCGGATCCCTGTCAGAGCGTAGTTCTTTTTGGTAAACAGGCAAACACCTTTGGTCATGAATTTGATTTCTTCATTATCGATTTTACGTCTACGAGACACTCCGAAATCCAATTCTTTAATCCATATCGAATCGCTGGCAACCACCAAAACTTCCAACAATTCTAAACTGGTTAGTACTTCAAAGTACTGTCGCCCAAACCCGCTCTCTAAATTTTGTAAATCTTTGCCCTCTAGACGCTCGCATACATAGGAAACTTTGCACTTACGACAATTAGCATGATAGTAATATGTATCTACATAACACTGTATTCCTGAAAAGTTAAAATTGTTGCAGTTGAAATTACATAATGAAAGCATTAAAAAAAATGTCTTCCGTGGACTGTCCTCGAGTAAACGAACGCACACATATTGCAGGAAAACATTGATTTTATTGAAAAGGTTGTGATGCTATTGGACTTATGAATGCCACGTACCCACTGGCCTTAACCCGTGGAGAGTGAAAAAGAGCGCCTCGTGACCTTTTCTCACACATTGACTAGCGTTCAAGCTCTGATGGGTTTGAAAGCACAATATCTCTTTTTTCAAAAAGCAACAGATAAACGATGCTACGAATTCCTTCTTCCACAAATACAAATTATTAACTAATAATCTCGTGGGGGAAAAACAACCAGCAACTTCATACGCAATCTTACAGACGCAATGGCTACCAAATTTGAAGTTACATAGTATGCATTTTGTAAATAGATAATTCAGCCATTTAACTTTGTATTTATGCAACCTCTGGCTATCTCTCTAGACTCCTCCCCCTGTTCGTAACGAAGGAGAGTGAATTAGCTCACTTCCGCGACATGGCGGACGAGTCTATGCGCGGAATGGCGTCGTATTTATTTACCCCGCACTTTTAAGGCGCAGTGACGCTTCGCTACTCATATCCACATACTAAGAGTAAACCTTGATCCCCTTGAAGCAGCCCACGGAATAGGTAGTCAGTTTCAATAAATTAAGTTTTAACAATTCAATACTTTTTTAATTCCAAAATAACATATCTAAACATTTCCTATCTGAGAAATACAATTGTAAGAAGAAATTAACATTACAAGGAGCACTTGTGCAAGGCGATGTTAAAAGCACTGATACCTAGCGGAGCTCTTCCTTGAAGCCACGAGGAACATCGAACGGAATGCAATCGGAAATGCCTTTTCGCGGAAGCAGGTAAAAGGCTCAGGAAAAATTGACCTCGGGATGCGTCCGAAGATATGATATGAACAGTGGTGCCATGAGAGGCAGGGAAAACAAGAGAACCTCGAGAAAAACTACCACAATCCAATAGTTGCGCCCCAATTCCACGGGGATCAATGAGATTTGGACCACTGTCCTGACGGAGGAAGGCAAGCCCTCTCACTACTACTCTGCCGGTCATCCTGCTCCGCAATAGAGAATAAAGATAGCGAGGACACCAGAATCTCGACTCTGGTTCCGGTAAATGCATGCTAAGCATAACCGCTCAAGATCACTTCCTTCTCTAGCGATCATAGGGGTCCATGAAGTCACTCCTCTTTCATCAGAGTGATAGAACTGATAATTTCGGAGGCGTTAACTATTAGTTCCTTTACTGAAGGGAATATTCTTTATCCCACGAGATGGCAGCGTATCTCCTACGCTAGACAGTGAGATCCGACCGACCTCGGTTTGGGCGAATTTCCTAACCAGCTATCTCCGACCTCCTAGCCAGGACAGCTCTGCTCCCGACATGTTAGGTAGCGAAGTATATGACAATATAGGTGTGCCTAAGCGGTGGTCATAGGAAAAGGAAGGGGTAGGAAAGATCGCACGCGGTCTGTGGCCTGTTTGTTAGGGTACTGATCCCGCATTCACCTGGTGTTGATCGGAGACACGCAGGGAAACTAGCTATCAAAGCAGCCGGCCGCTAGAATAATTCTCCTCCCGACAGCGGGTGAATTCGACCTAGCTGTGTAGTCGAAAATCCTGCCACCGTCGGGACTCGAATCCTAGGACCGACCGGTCAGAGGCACTGCAGTGAATTCAGTTAATCAGAGATATAAAACTTCCAGAATCTTCTGCGTAGGATACGCTCCGAAAAAAACAACTCTAATCCACAAACCAAAATGACCGGAGCTGGACTTCCAAGTTCCGAAATCTCTTTGAAGGTGGTAAATTGGCTCCTGGGAGTGCGCCCATCGATAAATGAAACCAACAAAAATGTCACAGTGATTCACAGAAGCCAGTAGATTCAAAATTTTTTAACGTTTAAAAAAATTATGTTCAGTCTTTTTCCAATGATTCTTACCAATATTTTGGATATTGAGCGCATATACATATGCATATTAACCCTCCATTAAATTTTGTGGTGTCTCATAACCTCGCTGGCAGAGCCTTTTATCCCCTCGCCAGGGACTCAACGCCGTTCGTAGTCGGGGTTCCCAGATGATCACCTACCCAGGAATCCGTCGTGTTTTGAGTTGTATACCTTCCGTGATTTTACGGAGCGGATTAACGCAATTCTTGCTTATTGCCAAAAGGTTAAACCAATTATTTCATCGTTCTTCGTTGTTCTCTGTAAATCAATTGGTTTGCACTCACTGGATGGCAAAGAATTGATGTAATGTAGGAAGCGATCAAATGGCATTTCGTATTCAAATCGGTATCTCAACACTGAATTACCATCTAGTGATAACCCTCTTTTTATTTTTAGGGGTATCGTAAAACAATATTGGAGAACGAAAAAAATATGTGCCGAGTCATAAAATGCCATCGAAATCTACAGGCGATAAACTGCATTCTTCTCAACTCTGATCCTAGTTTGCAGTGCAACACTCTCGCGTAAGCCAAGAAACCTATTGGAGTTTTTGCAACAAGCACATTGTATTATTATCGCTTACTCTATAGTAGCAAGATTTTAAAGTAAAACTTTCGTCCTTTCTGACTTGACTTTCAGACAACGCTTGAAGTTTGCATTAGCGAAAGAACAAACGGGGAATATGATTGGAATCGACATCCTGTACACATCACAGCAAACGTAACGCATGTGGGTCACATGATGATCATCGCCAATATGCGTAGAGAAATGTTTCACAGGATATATCTTGCCTACTCTAAAGTGCTCTTGATGTATACGCGTGTTTATAGGAGACACTTAAAACCCGTTTCACGAAGAAGTTGGTAACGTAGTTCCAACCAGTTCGCAAACAAAGAAGTTGGGCTTCGAGTTCGACCTTGGTCGGGCGTGAGAACGTGATAGCTCAGTAGACTTATACAAGAAAGAAGTTACACAGTGCTCACAAAACAAGTAACAAAATGTGTACTGAACGTTACACTATCAGCATTAATTAAAGTTTAATGCGTTTTAAAAGTTCGGAACCTGACGTCGGCTGATGTGCCACTTAACAAACGTTAAAATCAAAGATTAACATTATGAAATGCATAATATGAAGCACTGTATATTCTATCGATCTTTTATCTACAAGAAAAAATTACAATTACTTCAATTACCGCAATTTTAAAAGTTTAACACAATCATTTATGAAAAAATATAATCTTCACGACCATTAGAAAGGCTAGAGAAATGCTCAATAATGACATTCACATGTGGAATTCTAATAAATCCTTTCGAAACACTTGTACAGGACATCAACTGAACAGCACAATTCTTTACCGAAAAAACTGGTTGATTAATTCTTCCAGATTTCCTCATTGGGATCTTTGACGTACCAGAACACGCGACTCGTCCCTTCGATTGGTCCTCTAACACGTTTTGCAGTGTTGTGAATATGGAGCAAATATTTTAACTTTGCGTAATTCTTTTGAAAAAGTTTTAACATTTTCAGAATTTTCTATAACATGACTCCAAATGTTTGAATTATTTTTCCCGGGGCAAGCAAAGTCATTCTCGTAGAACTCTGCATTTTCGAAAATTGCACAAGTTTCAGAATTCGCGTCTTCCTTAAGCTACAATATTGACGAATCACATGTATTCCCTTAATGAAATCAGTTTTTCAAACATATATTTTTAAATTTCCCTGATGTTTCCCGATTTTCCAATGCATGGTTTTCCAGAAACGATTTGTAAAGATTTGTAAAGAAAGTATTGAAGTTACTCTAATAGTTATTGGTCAGCTATCTGATTTCACAGTGATAAAGTACAAATGATCAATATAGTATCACTAAATAAAAATTGAAGAAAAATAACAACTTAACGTTTTAAGAAATAACATCTTGTTTTATAATTTTTCACGACTTCTAGGGATTCTTCAGAAGGTTACGCGAGTATTCCCCAACTTTTCCAGAACAATGAAATTTCCTGTTTTTTCCCAATTTTCCACGTTTTCCAGTATCAAAGTGGTCACTTATTTCCTAAAAAAAATTCCTGACTTTTCCCGGGTTTCCAGCGTATTTTTTCACTGATAATTCACGCTACTTAAAAAAAAATATTGCAGTAAGACAGACTAGTTTGTTTGCTCCCAGATTTTACTGTGACGAAGAACTTAAAAAAAAATCAGTAAATAACGATTGTGTCACTTTTGTTTGTTGAACTATATTTTTTAAGGAATAAAATCTTGTTATATATCCGTCTCGAAATTTTCCCAGACTTCTAACTATTCTTCTACAAATTCCCAAATTTTTTCCAATTTTCTACGTTACCCAGAATATGGCCACCGTGTGAAAGTGTCCACTCCGATAGCGGAGAGCGGGGAAGAAAGAAAGAAAGAAAGAGAAAGAAATAAAGTTGAGAGCACTGACCTGCGCCTCACCCAGCCCCAGCTCGATCATATCGAGCGACTTCTGCACGAGGCCCTTCTTCTCCTCGACGACGGCGGCGGCATCCACCTGCGGCGGCTGGTCGCCGCCTCCGCCGCCGCCGCCCTGCTGCTGCTGTTGCTGCTGCTGGAGCTGCTGCTGCTGCAGGTGTTGTTGTTGCTGCTGCTGCTGCTTGGCCGCCTGCACCGCCAACTCCAGGGATGACGTGAGCCCATTGAGGATGGAGTTGTGCTCGTTGCGGAGGGCCTCCAGCCCCTGCACCACCGTCTTCGTGTTGGTCACGATCTCCTCCTGCGTCATCTGCGTCATCCTGCCGATGTGCTCGATCTTCTTCCTGCACACACAACATTCACATCTCTGTTTAGATTTTTGGATTCTTTTTTTATTTAAACATGGAATTCAACACCTCATACATATGGGTGGAACCAATACACAATTGACGTCTTGGGGCAGTAACAGGATAAGCCACACCAAACCTCACGCAGTTATACAGGAAATATATTAGAACGAAGGAAGTATGTCTAATCTTGTTACTGCTCTAAGTCCTTTATAAAAACCAACAAGACATACTCTTTATTCAGGGAGTCTCAGAACAAATGTTACAAACTTCTAGAATACGAGTATGTAGAGGAGTCCACAATCGCTTTTTGCCAAGGAACTTTCAGAGGAATATTTGTTATAAAGGGCTATTAAGCCTTTTAATGGGGCATTTGCCCGTGATTGTTAGGCAACCTGAACGCACAGTTATACAGCACGTATATGACTTTTCTTTGACGACAGAACGTGGCCTGCCCAATATCTGTGCATATGTAGTTGTTTAAATATAAGAAGAATATTTCACACGTACAACTTCGTTTCATGATATTTTCCGCCATAGTTATCGATTAAACGTGTCACTTTCGACCCCTCTACATTCCCTAGACGTTTGTAACATTTATCAGTCAGTAGTAATAGTAACAAGACAGGCCGCACTTTCATCAAAATCAACATCCAAGTACAAACGAAGAAGGTTCCCTGTGGTTTACTTTGTTACTGCCCCAAGCCTGTAAGCGTACTGTAACGTATTAGCCAGCGTGCCTCATGGCATCTATTTGGGGACGCTTGGTTGCGGATTAGTCTCGCCAAGAAGTAGGGTTTTTTTCCCGGTAAAGGGAAGAACGCGGAGACGGGAGTACACAAGGCTTTGGGTGTCTTTCGGCTTAATAGCAGCTTTTCACTGTTGATAAAAGCTGAGGGGGTGGCGTGACCGTAGGAGGGTCAGTGGCTGCCTTATTATATAGCGTGTACGGAGCCAGTTAGGCATGTTTTTGGAGACTGGGGGAATAACCTTCGTGGCGTGTGCACAAATACTTGGCCTAGATCTGGTGCATATGCGGCCAGCTCGGAGGCTGGAGTCATATTTAGTTGACGAAGCCTGCCGGGACTTTTATGTCTTAAGGAGTGCTGCGGTCACGGGGGGAGCGTTCTGTTGTGCGTGCTCCGAGGTTGAAGGTGGTTGACGTGCCAGATTCACGCGATTCTCAAATCGGATAAGTATTCGCTCCTGCGATGAGGCATATGCCGAGCCGTTGTGCGCAGAACGGACTTTTGTGTTCCCAGCGTGTACATCAGGACTCCGGAGCTAGGCTTTGTGGCTGCGCTTCAGAAATGTAGGAGTGGGCGAATTGCCACAATCAAGAGGACCATATTCAATTTAGGGTTTTGGATCGCTCCCCGCGATAGGGATAGTGAAGGTTATTAGAAGCTAGGGTTTAAGTAGATTTATTTTAAGTGTATATATTTGTTTTGTTTCTTGTTAAATAATATATTTGTTATACGAAAGCTCTGTGTCTGTGGATTCGCTGTGAGTATCCATTGACGTACAGACGGATAACATAATTTGGTGGCGCGGTAATGAACCCACGGGGGGAGGAGGATAGTGCTCACCAAACTATAGACATAATTGGGTGGCAGCGGTAATCGAATCACGGGGAGAGAGGATAGTGCCCAACTATAGAATATTGGCAGCGGTCATCGATAATCTCACGGGGGAGGGCAGTGCAAACACAACTATAGCTAATTGGTGGCAACCGGTAATCAACTACTACGCGAGAGCATATTGGTGCAAATTTAACTTATAGGTATTAATTTGTGGTAACGTGGTGGCAGTGCGTGGCGGGAGTGGTCGACTGGATAGCATAATTACGCTACTACCCTGCAGCGGGAGCGAGTTTAATCAGCGAGCCAGACGCTCCAAGCATCATACATTTACGCCAGAAGGACCTGGATAGGATAGGACGAGAAGGAAGGATGTCTGAGGTCATCGCGGCTTTTGACAGAATCACAAATTCAGCCAGATCCGGTTCGTGAAGTATAAGTTTATTTTGGTTCATCTTGTTTAAGCTAGTTCAGGGTTTTAATTATGGTTATTACCTGAGATTCGGGCAGAGTGTGTAGTGCACGTGGATCAGGAATTAGGACTCGAAGTAAGGTGGGGAAACTTTAGTGTGTTAATGAAATTGATAGAGGAGCATCCGATTACGAAGAAAATTTGTGAGCGATAGCTCAGGCCACATAAGGAAGAAAAAGAAGCGAGAAGGCGTAACGCGAATTAGAAAAAGAACGAGAGAAGTCGAACGGAATTAAAAAAGAACGAGAGAAGGCCGACGCGAATTAAGAAAAGAACGCGAATTCGAGAGGAAAGAGAGCCGAACGGCAGAGGCCGAATCGCGAAGACGAACGCGCGTTTAATTTAGAAAAACTCAGGATAGAACTAGGGTGCACAGGCGACTAGAGCTAGTCAGCAGCCTGAATCGAGTGCGTAAAGGCTCTAGATTCTGCATTAAATCAGGTTTATGAGTTCGTTTTAAAGGCGGAAAACGACGACAATAAGGCATTTCTGAATGTGTTCGATAAGTCAGGCCACGAACAGATTAGAAATTCCTTGGAAGAAGATGCGGTGTTGGCAATCTTATGGACTGCTCCGACACATATAATGTCGTCGCTACCTTAGAAGGGCAAGGTAGGAGGATAGAATATGCCGAATTAAAGATAAGCTATTGGAAATGTATAGAGGTCAATGTCCGAAAGGTTCGACCAATTGTTCCGAAAACTGTAAAATGCCGCAAATATTACATGGAATTTATACGCGAGGGAGTTGCAAATTTATTGTAAAGAGTGGTAGCTGGATTAGACATCCATACGTTTGAAGAATTAATGAATTTAATTGTAAGGATCACCTGAAACGCCGAGTGCCTATCGAATATCAAAAGAGCATTTTTATTGATGAGTGGGGAGGATTTAAGGTACCTCTGGAGTTAGCTCGTAAGCTAGATAATTATGAAAATAATAGGGCAGGCTGGAAACGGTCCACAATTTAAACAGTATAGGAACGGAAGCTGCAGCGGAACATGTAGCGAGCGCGAGCAAGCGATGTCAAAGCATTTGAATTCAGGGGAAAATCAGGCGGTAAGAAAACCGATGTCAGGGCCGTTCTATGAGAAGCCCAGACAAGCGGAAATGTTCAGTTGTGGATCGGTCGATCACATGATACGTGAATGCCCGAACAGCGCCGCGAGGCGGGAAAGAATTATATCATGTGATTCGACAAAACGGCTAGAGAATTGCTTTTTACACGCACGTGAGTGAGGCAGAATCACGGTATATGCCGGGAAATTTTGAGGGACTCAGGCGCGTCGTTTGATATTGTAAACGAGAAATTCATCAGCGAAAGAATTTGACGAGGAGAAAGCGTGTGGATTTGCAAGCCACTGGATGCCTCAGCAGCGAATCTCCCAGTAGCAGAAGTCGAGATAGAAGGACCGTTCGGAAAGGTCGTCACGAAAAGCTGCTGTCGTACTCGAGATGTGACAGAGGATATTACTTATTAAGTAATCGAACAGCCCGCGTTATTGGAAGAAGTAAAGGCAGGATTTATTGAGTCACACCTAGTTGCAGCGGTAAACTACTCGTCTCAAGCCGCTGAAACGGCGCCAGTTGAGCGTGAGGGGGAGGTGGCAGGCTCGAGCGGCCAGGAAACTTCAGGTAGTGAGCAGGTACAAAGTACAGGATCAGGGAAGTAGAAGGAAGCTATTAGTGAAAGGGACGAGTGCAGGTGTACTGAATCCCCAAGTGAATGAAACTCATAAATGTTAGCCGAATGAGTTCGCCGTGTCACAACAAAGTGACAGGAAGATTAAAGTATTATATGACACGTAATGAGCACTGTGACCAAGAAACAGGGGCGGATGCGTATTATTATTAAAAAGAATTTGGTATCGGTCACGACACAGCAAGCGGGTGAAAATTTAATAATGTTAGTGGTTCCCACTAAATATCGGGCAGCCATTCTGAAAGTGTGCATGAAACCGCAAATGTCACTTAGGGGTGCACTAGAGGCAAAGTCAGTATGTCGCGATACTTTTTATTGGGCCTCGTTGTTTCCAGGAATGGAGACATATGTGACATCTTGCGATGTGTGTCAAAAGGTAGGCAGGCCAAATGATCGAAAAAAAGGCACCGTTGTTTTAGTACCGCCGATAACGGAAGTCTTTGGCAAAATCAATATCGATACGTGTGGGCCTCTCCCGAAATTCGTGAGGGTACAAATTCATTCTATTTCAAATTCATCTATAGCGACACAGGGCAAGAAACCTTAGACATTTGGAGCAGGTGTTTCTAATATTAGAGAAAGCGAAGTTTGCATGTGCAGCCGACAGATGTAAATATGCACGGAGAGAATGTGCAATACCTGGGTACATGGTTTGGTTAATGGCATTTTGCGGCCAGTAGAGGCCAAGGTGAAAACAATTAAGGGGCCTCCTATACCACAAAACAAAAAACAAGTGCGTGCTTTTCTCGGGCTGACGGGGTATTACAGGAAATTTATTCCCGATTATGCGAGTATCTCAGCACCATTAACGGACTTATTGCGAGGTCGCGGACGGCAGGGCAAGGTGAAATGGTCGCCAGAATGCGAGGTGGCATTTGAGAAATTGAGAAACTGCTCTATGTACAAGAACCCGTCCTTCACGCGCCCCCAATTTTAATAAGGACATTATGTGCAGTGTGATTGCGTCAAATAGAGGGATCGCATCATTTTGGCACAGTATAACGACAGGGGAGAAGAAAAACCGGTGTTATACTTAAGTCGAAAATTCACAGATACTGAGTTATTGCGATGCACGATCGAGTTAGAGTGTACGGCAATTATCTGGGCTTTTTGCAGAAAGTTAAAAATATTACTTAGACGGAAACGCCAAAATCAAGGTAGAAACTGACACAATACCATTGGTATGGTTGAACAACTTGCTCACGTAAAAAATCTAGATTAATGCGATGGTCACTTTTAATCTC